GTTTGTGCTGTCTGATATTTCACGGGCGGAAGGAACATTGCGTCACCCATCCGATGTGTGTCAAGGCCGCAGAGCCTTGAGCCTAAGAAGGGCCCTAAGAACCTAGGCCACAGAGCCTAAGAAGTGTATTTCACTTGATTTACAAAATGCAGCATTATACCTAGAAGGACGATTCCAATATTTAATTAATTTTCGTAACTTCATTAATTTTATCAATTTCGATACAAAGTCACTCCTTCAGAGCTACTGTACTCTGTATTGGTTTACTCCGTAGTATTAGTATTAGTAGTACTATTAGTAAACTGTATTGGTTTACTCCCAAGTGAGAAGGCGACTGTTTAACGTGTCATATATTCTCTTATGTTCCTTCTCCTCATCCGTTCGAAATAGAAGCTCTATCCATTAGTATCCATATCCATATCCATATCCTTAGTATCCATTCATGAACGCTACCAACGTTGTTGCTCACAGAAGAACGTCATAAGTATTAGTGTTTCTTTTAAGAAGGAACTGTTTTCAAGGTTTCCTTAGTTTTCCTCCTTCGTTCCTAAGATCCCCTCCGATCACGCTGACATATTTATCCTAGCCGAAACGGTATCTAGTACAATAGGAATGGAGTAGAACGGAACGTAACTGACTTTATCAGGATTAAAACGCGAAATAATGTACATCACGTGAAGAACCTAACCATTTAGCCCAGTTTCACACAAGGAAGGACGAGGACTGGTAAGGATACACTAACGTATTGATTGCGTAGAGTTTAGTTTAAGAATGTATAAATACATAACTCTGAATCATAGTCATGGATCATTTTAAAATTACTAGCATTCGAGAGAACGTTCAAAAGAGAAATCCACACATATGCCGTACATCGTGCCAACTAATCTTGGAGACTAGGGAAATAAGGGGACAAATCACTCGTGTTTTTTTTTTCCAAAAAATTTCGAACTGCGATTTCTCCGATGTGAAAATCAGAATACCTTTCAAAATATCACATTTTTAGTGCAGCGGTTGGAAGTGCAGCACAAGTAATCGGGAATGAAATTGGATAATGAATAAATAAAAAATTAAAGAAAAGTGTAGAAACGTAAGAAAATTTGCGATTTCAAAATGCTAAATTTATCCTACTTATCTTACATCTTACAGCTTGGATTCCTTAGCTATACCAGTTTCTTCCTTCCTCAGCAGTAAAAGCGTTAAAATGAGTAATTCCAGTAAACGTTGCCTAACCCAATTCCATTGCTCCTGACTGTTACTCCTTTAAGACCAAGAAAAAAATTCTTTCAGGCCTCCTGTCTGACACAAAGCTTCATTTAAACAAAAACAACATCTCGGAATTGGAGAATGAGACATTCCGTCCCATGCTGCAGGTTTCATCGCAGGGAAACGGATCTCTTCAACTGTCAGGTGAGGCCCAATGTTCTTTTTAAAAAATGTGATTTTTCCGGCTCTTTACTAAGATTCACTTCATTCTTAAACTTCTTACCTTTTCTGCATTCCAGATAATCCGCTTAAGTGTGATTGCCAGGTGGCGTGGCTGGCACTTGCTCCAAACTTACTGACAAGAGCAAAGGCATCTTGCTGGAACGAGACGGATCTGCAAGCTTTGCAAGCCTCGTTGAAAGGTTGTCGTGCTGAAACGACGAGTCCAACGATTCTTCAATGCCCTGATGGCCATCAGTGCATCAACGCGACATCCGTCGCATTATCGGACACTTGCAGTGGAAATTCGTATTTTTCCTGCCCCTTCCCGACACAAGTCTGCTGTTCGATTTCCCCAGGCAGTGGGCAAAAGCAACCTTGCTCGGGAAACTTCTGCTCGACTCCATCGGTTGAAAGCAAATGCGATCCCAGAACGCAGATCTCAATTTCGTCATGCACTGAGAAACGTGTCTGTTGCCTCAATCAACAATATGTCGATTCCTTTCATTTCAGTCCTACCGAAGTGGAATCCGAGTAATGAGCCAATCCGGATGGAAGGCAGAGCTGCTCGAGCAGGTCTACGTAACTACTGCTGGAATGCAGTAATTATCAACTCCTGTGGGCAAATTATCTGCGGTGGGGCTCTCATTCAACACGGATATGTCACCACAACTGCTTCCTGCCTCCAGACCGACACGTATTGGTTTAAGAACTCCTATCAGTATATCAAACGCTGCAATGAAAAACAAAAGGCCAAAATTTTTAAAATGTAACCAAAATTCGTAAATTACAGAACTTTCAACCGAAGAGCGCAGGAGCGAGCAGGAGATTTTTTAACCTATCGGTTATTCATGGAATCACCATAATTCTCGAAAAAAAAAGTACTGCGGTTTATCGGAAATTAGGAACTGAATTCAAAAGACTGAAAATGAAAAAAAAAACGAAAATCATGAATTTTCTATCCAAAAGGCAATCCCGTGAAAGCAACATGCAGTGTCCAATTTCTTCTAGCCAGACCATACAGGAAACAATAAATAACAAGATGGGCAAGCCCATTCCAGTAGTGGGCCTCCTTTCATTTAAGAAGACCCTCATTTTGTCACCTACTTCAGCAAAATATTGAATACCATTGCTCTCCGGTTTTCGACCAACAAAAATATAATTTCTCAGTTAGATTTGGCAAATCTACCCATGGTGTTCATTAAATGATGATGGGAAGATGGAGGATCGTGCATGGTTCGATCCATCTGCCACGAGGGCTAGTAGAGAACTGACAGCACTTGTCGGGGTACGGCGCCGCGCCAAAGGCCTGAGTCTTACAAGCATGCGCATTATAGTCTATATTCTAAAGGGCCCTCAAGAACTCATGCTCCCCCCCCAGTGAGCAAATTTAAAATCCAAAATTCACGATAAAAATGGCAATTTCGGGGCGGATTCGTCACAAAACTAACTCACCCTGTATCTTACTCATCTCAACCGGATGGCCAATTTTCGCTTTGATAAGGCTGATATTTTGTTAGTTATCGTCGGGCAATCAGTGTCAAACACGGACAGTACCAAACGTGGTCTCTTACCTTTCAGGAAAGAAACCCAATTAAAAATACCTCTCTCCTTCAGAAACGACCATTTTAACGCTTGATGCTCTCATGCCTTCTTAACTCGTTTAACAATTCTCCAATTCTGTAGTAGGTCTTCTAAATAAACCGATAATCAATGAGACTATATGCTTAGTAGGTAGAGGGCGGAAGGTGAAGGGAAGGTATAATGGGTAGCATTCTTAGCACAAGTTCGGATAGCAACCATTTCTACGCTGCCATGTAGGGAGGGGAAGGTGGAGCAAAATGGGGCGAGGGGCAAAATGGGGCAAGGCAGATTTTAACTAAACCATACCCGATATCTATCGACTCTTTACCCTATTATAACCGCCCACGACCGGTGGAAATTTTCAGGCACAGCGGCGCCATCCAAAGTAATTCGTAAACACACAAGGAGCAATATGAGTAAACATCTACATTTCTTATTTTGTTTCGAGTCTTTCATGAGTGAAACAAAGTAACATGGGAACATTGTTTGCGTCCGATATTTCTTTTGCCTGAAGGTGAACATGTGAGCTATTACATGAAGTAATACTATTTTACATAGCTCACTCACTTCTTGTTTGGCAGTGTTTTTATTGTAGATGGTGCTGATGGGGCAAAACGGGGTGATAGTGTGGGAGAAAAATGGGGCATTGTAGAGGCTCTACAAATCTATTCTCCGCTGGCTGGAACATCAGTTACAACGTTAAGGCTCTGGCTGACGCGATGTGTTACCGTTCAGATTCCTTCTCTTGCTCAAAACTCACTGAAGCCTGGGTCACTGGAATTCGACTCATGACAGGCGTGCAAGCATCGATAATGACACGTATGAGGACGTGTTTTCTGTGACATTTGTAAATTTGCATCTATAATAAATACATGGATAAATATTTGAAACAACAACACTTGCTTTGCCACAAAGGTTTACTTGTTGTTTCCGTTCTGTGGCCTTAGTATTAATAATTAGGCATATAATGAAAACATGGGAAAACCTATGAAGAAAACAAGGTTTGTTGGTAGATGTTTTATTGTTCCATCTGTTCTTTGACCTTCGTAAGTAAGAATGAAGACTTGGGGAAACAAGAGAAAGCATCTGCTTGTAATTTATGGATGTTGCGTTGTGGCCTCTCTTCTGTGAACTTTGGAAATGAAGGCACGGGAAAACGTGGATAATAATTAGTTTACTATTTGTAGATATTTCATTGATGTTTCTGTTCTCTGACCTATTTAAATAGGTACCAGTATGTATTAGGAAAAGAAACATTGTAAAATTATCTGGAGGAGCACCCCGATTTGCCCTGTAGAGGCACCCCAGTTTGACCCATTGATTGGGCGAAATGGGGTATATGACAATAACTTCTAGAATTGTCGGGGGGAATAAACCATCGCTGATTTCGCGATGAAGTTGAATCCTAGTTGAAGGTAAGACATGAAAGATACCTATGGGAAACATACTACGACATCTTCTTGGTATTAAGTTTTGGCGATTTTCCTAAACTGCCCCGTTTTGCCCCACTTTCCCCTTAAGGTGCTGCCTCCCACTCCGCTTATCTAGTTAGATCCATCCGCCAAGAAGGCTAGTAGAGAACCTTACTGCATTGGTTGCAAACAGGGCACCACGCCCAAGGCCTAGGTCGTCCGCGCATGCGCATTGAGGTCCAATACAATTGGTAAATGTCGTGTGGAGTAAAGAATCGTAATAAATGGCAGGAAAATGCAATTTCGGGTGAGTTCCAACAAAGAACAAATGTCCGGTCCTGCCCGACACATGACCGCAAAGGGTTAATACAATCCGGACCCATTCTGCCAAAGCAAGGTCATGGGCAATGATTCAAAATGAATTAGAAATTGAAATGGAAGGAGATTCCAGTCCCTTCGGCGTGACTACCGTAGACTCAATCCGATGTCTTTTTTGCCATGTCCTTTAGTCTTTACCTTTTTCTTTTAACTTTCAGGGTTTTTTATGTTTTCTTCCCGATATATTCCATTCATAAGTCAAGTATGATGATGAGTAATTTCCATATCGATCGTCACAGCATCCGCAACTCCCAATTTCTCCGTTTTCGTGAAAACATCGACGACGACGACATCATGATCTTGATTCTTCAGACGCCAGTACAAGCAAATGAAAGAGCCTGCAATATATCCGTCCCGGATTTCGATGACTTCCACAACTTCTCCGAGTGCAAACTCGTTTCCCACATCGGAGGTAATGGTTAATCCTAAAAATAGCTTCATCGAAATCTTCATGCGTGAATTGAGTCAGTGACTGTGGAGTCGTTCTTTCCCAATAGATGAGGGATATAGGGCGAAACCGGTGGCTTACCAAGCTTCCATAGCGAATTCCAGCACGTGAGGAAAGACTTACTCAGGGCAGTCCCCTCCCATCTAATTATATCTGCATCTCTTTCTCATCGATCTGGTGTGAAGAAACCGGTGCCCCTCTCGTCTGCCATGACTCCGGTGTCGCAAGGGTGCATGCCGTTATTGGATAGTCTTTTCCTTCCTGGATAAACAGTAATCATGGATACTCATTTGCAGTTGGCCCCAGTGAACAGGTGGGGGTTACCTCCAACAATGACCCTTCTGTCAGGGCCCTACAAGCACTTTCGGCAAGAAAAAGGCGGTCACTAGAAAGTACTTTGGTGGCAGCCGCGACTAAGAAGGGGAGGTGAGAAGATCATTCCTCCTAGCAAAAGCCAGGAAATAGGTAAATTAGAAAACAAAATGCTAATTGAATCCTAATCATGGTTAAACGAGATTGCCTCACTGATTTAGCACGACTTCATACAGGTGGAGACCATACCAATGGATGTGGTCAACTTCTTGACGTGGAAAACGGATTTATTCACAAAGTGCATTGCTCCAAAAGGTAGGGACCTCTGAAGCTAAGAGCAACGTTCTCTACCTTTCTTTTTTTGTCCTTTTTATACAGCGCACATCTCATCCTTCAAAGATGGTGCGGGTATACTCCAAATGAAACGTTCCATATCATGGCATTGTATACCCCTTTTGGCAGGAGACCAAGTGGGCAAAGGGAGGGCCAAAACAGCACGGATTGCCTTCAAAATGGCACGTATGCTACCGGAACTGTCGTAAAATACTCGTGTGATCGGTATTACGTTCTCGCGGGATCCCACATTCGAGAATGTGGATGCGATGGAAAATGGACAGCATCAAGTCCTTCCTGCGAGCCTGGTAGGTCATTCTTGAGTTCCTCCTTCCCATGACCGCTCTACCGTGTCCTCCAGTTCTGCATCTCATTCTGCCTTTCATTCGAAGAATGTGGAAGGAAGGGGCAAATAGAAGAGTTGTCAGCAGGAGGAAGGGTGTCGATAATTGGAGAATGGCCATGGCAGACTGCCATCTATGACGTCAAGAAAAATGAAATTGTATGCGGAGGAGCTCTCATAGCAAGGCAATGGGTGGTAACTGCAGCTCATTGTGTCACCGTCAACAGTTCCCCAAGAGAAAGGAATGAGAGTGACTTCATCGTCTACCTTGGGAAGCATTATCGAAATGACTCCCAGGATGATAATTTTGTGCAACGAATGGAAGTAAGGCAATATATACAAACTCGCCCATTCCTGCCATTCTATATCTGTGGAACGGTCGTGTGTCATTTCCAGGTGTCAGAGATCATCATTCATGATGAATTCAACATCTGGGGGAACCTCAACGCCGACGTTGCCCTATTGAAACTGGTGGGAATGGCAAAATTAAGCCCGCGAGTTCAGTTAGTGTGTCTCCCAAGCCAGGGTCATCTCAAGGAAGGAATGCCAGGATTTGTGAGACATGAGGTTATTCATCAAAATTTGCCCTATTGAAACTGGTGGGAATGGCAAAATTAAGCCCGCGAGTTCAGTTAGTGTGTCTCCCAAGCCAGGGTCATCTCAAGGAAGGAATGCCAGGATTTGTGAGACATGAGGTTATTCATCAAAATATTACATGCTAATTTTTTTTTAATTCAAACATTTTTTTAACCGCTAAATGGTAGGTAGCTGGCTGGGGTGTCAATGGTTCGGATCAGTTAGTGTCTGAGTTGATGGAAGTCAAACTGCTGGTGGTATCGAATGACAGATGTTGGGGCACTGGGCGTCTACCTCTCAACCAGGCACTTATCTCAAACATGTATTGCGGTGGTTACGACTGGAAGATTCCTCCAGAACGTAGAGTTGAACCCGTATCCTTTGTAATGCTCATAATGTGTGATCAGAACTGAGCGATATGGTTGCGATCGCAGAGTACCAAACCGTGTGTCCCGGAGATTCGGGGAGTCCCATGGTCTTCCCGTCCCTTGACTCTAAGGGAAGCATCTGGCGTGCGGAGGGGATTGTGAGTCACTACCTCAACCCCAGTAATTGCTCTGAAAGGCACCGCGGTGATAACAGCGTCTTTACCAAAATCAGCGGGTGAGATCTGCATTATTGCCCTGCTCTCTCATAATCGGATCATTCCATGAAAAATTGCTTTAGGGTTTGCAAATTAACACCCTACCATTGCCGATTTCGATAAAAACTTGGTATCCAGCCTTTTCATACCACGAATCCCAGAAATATCGTATTTCAGCCTCATCGGGTCAGGAGGTCAGATGCTACAGGCTGGCCAACGTTTAAGGTCATCTGCTAACCTTCCATTATGATACACCAAGGAACTTTAAAACTACTCATGTTAGACCCTTGATTAAGAGGTCAATTCGCTGTAAATTACATTGGGAACTCACATTTAGCATAACAGTTTCATATCAGCAAAAATCACAGTAATTCATCGATAAAATGCTGATCTTTAAATGTAGGATGAAACCACAAATCTTAAATCGCCAAAAAATAACATGAAAAAGTGTGCGTCTCAAATGAAAGGAAACTATTATTTTTACATTCCGTCTATGTATTCACCTTTAATCTTAAGTTCTTGAGTTCCCGGGATATCAAAATCGAAGCTTAGCAGTTGACCTAATATTTTTACCACCCTGTAGCATCTGACCCACTGACTTGATGAGGCTGAAATGTGATATATACGGTTCTGGTGGTAGGATCATCCTCGATACCAAGTTTCATCAAATTCGACAATGGTAGGGTGTTACCCTTTGGTTGATTGTCCATGGAATCACCCATCATCATTCATCTCACTTCTCGCATTCATTGTAAGCTTTATATCCTCTTTTGTCATTTTCTCCAATTTAGGTTCACTGACTGGATTAACAATAGGATGTCAGAATATTATCCATGAAGACTTTCTTCTGAAGTGGATCCTACCTCCATGCAACTCGGATCATTTGATGCATTTCTTCCTACAATCCAAGAGTAAAGTCAGACAGCAGAAATCTCATTCAGCGCGACATTCGGGCGTCAATCATTGTACAGATAAAGATTGTGAAGCATGTAAAAGTTTGTTGGAGATGAATATCCTGTGATTGAATGTGTGGTGGAGTAATGTAGCCTATTCATCATTAAGTCAACGCAAATTAGATGGCGTACAGTTAATGTTGATATTTTAAGCAATACTCCTTTCTATCTAAGGCTGTGGCACTGACACAAAAAGAACGAAAGTGGAACGACCAGTTTACGATTACAATTTAACCCATATGGCAGGTGAGGTGGGAACGTCCAGTTCCTTTGTAAACTTCCGTATGTGTACAAGTGACTTCCATATATTTGCACGGTAAAATAAACATTTGAAAGACCATTTGAAACTCCGTGAGAAACGCTTACTCATGATTGTTGGTCTCTTACGTTGTAAGACCGTTGTAAGATCGTTGTAA